TAAGCCTTCGTTAGTCACGGTAGAGTTCCTCTAAGCTCGCTTCAAGAACATCCAAGCGGGTTTCCACCGTTGTGAGTCTCTCCTTATGACTCTTTTTCTCGGTTGGCGCTCCAGATTGCGCCTCCTCCGCTCACGGATAACAGCCAACTTCTCGCTCATCATGTTCGTTGTCGCACTCCTCCTGAGCGGCTCCAACAGCATGAGAGCGAGTGTGCACTTGCAACCCACCTGCGGCTGCTTGGGGCAAGGGTCCGGCTTGCCCCGTCTTGCTCGATTCGCCACGATGCTTTGCCATGGCGAAGTTGCGAAGTTCCTTCGCTGCTCGCTCGAAGTGCTTGCCCGCTCTGATACCACAATGTCACGGACTTAGCTAGAATTGTCTAAGTCGTGAGGCACCCTTGCGGGCCTGCAGCAAAGACGCGAACTTAGCTTGCGTTGCCTAAGTCGCAAGGCACCTTTGCGGCAAAGACACGAACTTAGCTTGCGTTGCCTAAGTCGCGCTTCGCTTTTGCGATTTGCGTCCGCAAAGATCAACCCACTTGCAACCTCTCGCAGGTCCCGAAGGACCTGTAAAAGAGAAAGTTGATTAGTTCGAAGAACGAGCGACAGACAAGTCTTGACGTCTCGCGAAAAGGGGAAGCTTTATAGGCAATTTAGCGAGCACCTTGCGTGCACAAGAGTAAAGAGGGAGAGGAGGAAAACAAGGACTTTAGAGGGTTGAACGAACAGCTGCAAGTCCACAAGCATATGCTCACCGGGTGCCGGGCGCGACAAAAAGTTCCCGTCAAGGTAACGTGCGAACTTGCGAAAGGTTGTTCAATGCTTGACACTATACCGAAGCCCCATCCCCCATGGTGCCACCCGGGTGGTTCTAGGGTGCTGAGATGGCTGACATTTTGCGTGCGGCAGCGGGCTACAGAAAACAGCCTGTGGCACGCAAAAACGGAGCTGTTTTGGGGTTGTTTTACTCGGTTCGGTGAGCGGTCGCACTGTAGCACTGCAACTTGTTCGAACTTATATTTTTATAAGCAAAAGGACTTAAAACCAAGCCAAAACATGTTGCCAAGCAGCTGTACATGTAGACGAGAGCGACGAACGGTTCGTTGAACGGAGTTGTTGCGGGTGCGCGACGATCGTTCGTGACACATTGGTGCAGGATTCTTTGGAAAAGCACGGGTTGACTTGGAGACCTGGGACCTTGGCTTAACAACGAACGAAGGGAAGCTCTTCGAGCCTCACAAGAATCTATTATAAATCTCTATTTTCCTCAACCAAGAGGCCTATTGTAGACCTCGTCACCTTAATCCTTACTTAGTAGTCCAAAGACTCCAAACCCTTCCAATCAGCCTGACTTGAACTCATGTTCAAGTTGAACCATTGGGTTAAGAAATTTTTATCTGCTTTATTGTCAGGTCTGGGTCAAGCATAAGTTTCCTTGTTGATATGGTTTCAGCTCACTCCTCACCCCATCCCCTTCCCAGGTCTGGATTGAGAAATCTTGACCCATAAAGATTTGCCTTATGTGCCATTATTATCCCGTCTCAACCCAACATGGTCGACCCAACCCATTCAAAAGCCTATCCTTACTAAATTAGGATCATAAAGAAATAGTTTAGGAGGGCTTAAAATTGTCTTCACAAAATTACAGCTGGAAGGCATCTAGGACTTCCATAATCTAACTCAATGTTTTAGTGATTCTCTCAAACCCATCCCTAATTATGATGGAATTCATTTTTTTAATTTTAATCACAATGGAATTCTATAACCATTATTAAAATTATACTAAAAAAATAATGAAGCTAACAAAAAAAATTGAACTTGGACATAAAATCATAGACTTAATCCCTAGCCTAACTAGGTATGTAATACATCATTCTTTAGTCTCATTTTTCTAGACCATGGTAAGTGAGATGGTGGTTTAATTTGATTGAGAGGGGAAGTTGAAAAAATAAAATTTTAACTAGTCAAGATAAATATGGTGTTCCAATGAGTCCTTCACAAACAAGATATAGAAGCATTGTCAGATACATAAAAGATGACAGTAAATGTACTATTCCAAATAATTTTCACCTAATTCTTTCTTGTTTGGATTGAATAGTTTGCTAAAAAATTTAATCTAATGTGAACATATCTGTAAATCAAGAGAAATATGCAAAATCTGTCTCTAATTGTATCATATTTTCAATCAGAGACCAGTGATGATTCTTGGTTTTGACATTTAATTATTTATTTCCAAAAGGTTGTACATAATCTAGAGTGTTGAGCAGCAAAGATTAGATATCAATTTTGATTCAGTAATATTATTAATATTGCAAATTACTTTTCTGTTGTAGCTTATGCTATCAACAGGTTCTTTGTTTCCATAGAAGTGCAGTGATTGCACATCTCTGCTTAATCTTCCTTCCATTGGAGTGTACAAAACAGAACTTTTAAAAACTGACAGGGGACAAAATGTTAGAAAATTATTGCAGTGTTTCACCAGTAATGATGGTGAAGTCTTGCTGGGTAGATAAATTATATAGTTTTCATTGTTAGAAAACTAATTAACTAAAATTATAGTGGCTTTTATGATTGATTTTTCTTTTTTTTAGGATGATAGCAATTCATGTGACCATACGGAGGTTCCAGATGACAGTAAGGAAGTTGATCATGAGTCCGATATCCCTTTACATGGTACAGAACATACTGAGGCTGGAGGGGTAAATAACATGGGCAAGGAACAACTTAAAAGGTAAGCAATATCAGAACTCTGTCTGAGTATCTTGTTGTGTTCTCGCTTTTATTTGATTTAAGTTGCAGTTCATTAGTTATATACCAGAAACAATATGATCGACATTCTACTTTACTAGCTAACATAAATGCCAAAATTGATTCCAAAGATCCTGATTTGCTGCAGGCAATCACTTCAATGTGGTGGTTGGGCTTCTCTTAAGAAAACAACTGCATATTTTTTATAAAGACAATCCTCACTTAATAACAGAATTTGACCAAAAAACAGAAAATGTTAAGATACAGCTCAGGTAATTGAAATTTCGAAGGACTGACCGTTGAAAAGCCTCGTACCATCGGCATAAACTATGGACACCATAACAGGCAGACATATGCTATGGATACTTTATATATCATCTTATTCTTTTAACATTAAAATGTTGGATCATAATTCTGACAAAAAGTATACCGTTTAAATATATATATATATATATATTACATCAAATAATGTACATGATGCTCACACATGGACTCAAATCTAAGAACTATCACTTGTGCAACAATGTACTAAACAATCCAGATGCCTCAATAGAGACACATAAGTGCACCTGTTACAAATACTAGCTTCTTAGATTGTTTATTGTTTGTATCATTTGGACTCCACATATCGATAGCTTTTGTCATTTATCCAATAAAGATTTATGTTTTATCTTAGCAAGAGGTAAGATCCTTCTTTTCATTAATCTGTAAGTCATCACTTGTACCGTGAACTGTTCTGACCGACGAAGAAAGATGTAACTGCCTCCCTTCTTCCTCTTCTTTTTAATTCTGTGAAACAAATTGTTTCTTATCTATGATGAACTTTATGCAGAGGCATCTCCCGGAAGCAAGCTGGTAACATTGAAGCCCTCAAGAAAACTCTGAAGGAGAATGCAGATAAAATCTCATCTTTAGAGACAGAGCTTAAAGACATGAGAGAACGGTACCTTCATATGAGCCTTCAATATGCTGAAGTGGAGGCTCAGCGTGAAGAACTGGTAATGCAGCTTAAGTCTGTGAAGAAGGAAAAGAGGTGGTTCTCGTGAACCTGGAATTCCCCCAACCACGTCCTTTCTCCTGCCTAGAACTAGTTCATATTCTTTTTTCCTTGTAGTTTTTTGTTCTTCATTGTCATTCATTGCGGGCATAAAATTTACCTAATCTTTTGTTGATTTCTAGCAGATTATATATAAATAGTCATCCTGCTGCCCTACGAGATCTAAAATGTATATAGAATTGGTTATAATCCGGTGAATAATAGTGTCATATATATTTAGTTGGTTTTCTTTATGGTTTTGTTATAGCGCAATTATTAGTAAGTAATGAGAACCAATTATCGATATCAAGGTCTTCTGCACCCATACATTTTTTAAATAAAATCTTAATGGTAACGAGTATATCTGCGCAACAAATATACGAGATAAGAACTTTTCTGAAAATTGAACTAACACAGAGCTATCGTGAAAGGAAAGAGATTCAAATCACCCCACCCATCTGTTAGTGTGCACAAAAGTTCATGACAGATCGTTCGAGGTTGTCCCCTCTTTGTTGCTTACGTGGATGAAATATCAAGAAGGGGATATTAAAGTAGTTACAAGTTACCCCCTCTAAGGCATGGTATAAAAAGTCGGGTTGAGACATTTTTTTTTATATCGATCTTAGTGCGGCTATGCCTCGGGAACTCGATGCCCCCACATTGGAGCTACTTGGAACACTCTTATGCCTTCACGTTTAGTGCAGGTCGAGTTGACTCTAACATTAACGATGATTTTTCTTAATATTTTGGTGCTAGAAGGAGGGCATGATATCGTAGGAATATCCACCCGACAATCCTCTCAACGAACACTCCAGTGAGGAGGCCCTGCTTCTGATATATATCACTTTTACTCGATGGGAACAACTTCCGTCCTTCCTTCGTATGGACGCTCGACATAAACATTAGTACGATACTGACATCTGTTCAATGATTAGGCCTTTGCCCTTGGAAGTCATAGTCTCAGGAAACAGGTCTCCGTAGGCAACCGCTAAAGCCACAAGCACAAGCTGTATCACCCAGTTTCGTAAGGCTATTTCCTGTCAAATTCCCATATCTTTGGTGCTCCAAAGCATATCAATCAGGCGATTGAACATTCAATTTCTACCTCACTTGTCCAATCTCTGAACTGCTAAGCCAATGCAATTTTATATTTTTCATTATAATGTAGTTCTAAACGTATACTTTGAATAACTTATTTGGATGAACAACCCATGCATGTGTAAGATGACTCATGATTACTCAAGTTAGTCAAAGTCCTCTTGCAAGCACCTTGGTTGGGAGATGAACCACTTACATTGTTTCCGGTTTACACTTTACTAGGCATCATCAAAGAACAATATGAATGCCCTTGCCACCGATCACTAGCCTCAGTGCCGATGTTTATTTTCCGTGCCACTTGATATCTGTTTTAGCCTTCCTGATCAATGAAACAGCAGGAATAACTGTTCCGAAGCAGCCAAATCTACATAAAAGAAGAAAAAAAATCAATTCGTTGCAAGAACTGTAAAATTGACAATATATGAAATTTTAGACAATCTGCCAGATTACCATTTCTTTTGTCAAATTTATTTTCTCTTCTGCAACATGGGATCAACGATGACCTGTGGAGTGAAATCAGGCTTTAGGTACTTAGAAAGCATTTCAGCATATAGTTCATATCGTGCAGTCATGCGGAAACCCCATTTGTCTTTTAACTGTCTGCACAGGTTCAGATCCATGTCTGAAACCATTAATCCATCTCTGTAGCGTGAAAGGGATGGGGTGCAAGAAGCATCTGGTGCTGAAAAATGGCTAGAACCATAGAAATGACCAAAATCCGAATGTTCAGGCTTCCCATCACCAGAAGTGAATGCATTAGGAAATATTTCAGTACCAACACGATTAATTGACCCAACAAAATAACTATTTGCGATGGCAGCATTCCGAGCCTGCAACATAATTGGTTGGAGTAGTGTGGTTGAATCATGAGAGACATTCAAGACCAAAAAAGCAAGAAAATAATAAATATTCGGAACTACCTCAATAGGCCACATTGGTTCACTGAGTTCCCCAACAGTTGCAGAAGGGTTGAAGACAATCTCAGCTCCATTAAGCCCAAAAGCTAACCAATTTAAGGGATGGTGCCTTCCATAACAGATGTTTATTGCAATCTTTCCATAAGCTGTTTCAAACACAGGGTGTCCGGTGTTTCCTTCCATATAATACGTGCTCTCGTTAAAATCCCCAACTCTAGGAATGTGATTCTGATTAAAAAAATTAAAAATATGTGATATTTCTATAATAGGAATGCACAAAGGAATATAATTGACAGTATAAACAATGTTAATGGCAGCAAAGAAACCAACCTTTCTATGAATGCCAATGATATTGCCATGGTTTCCAATTACAATAGCAGTGTTCCAAATGGTTTCCCCGTGGTTTACATCCCTTTCAAGAATGGGATTCACGATGACCATATTATATTTCCTCGCAAGTTTTTGGAGAAACTGAGTCGATTCTCCATTAACAGGCTCTGCAAATTCACACCATTTCTTCTCCCTAGTACAGAAAGCAAATGGCATCATCCAAGCCTCCTGCACTTAAAGGACAAGCATTCAAAATGAATGGCAGCGAGAGAAAAACATTATTTGGCATGAACAACAAGAAAAATCAGAAAAAAAGTCAGAGATTTAGTCAAATGAATCACAAACTTAAAGAAAGGATAGCATTACAACATGATCAAGAAAAATAAGTAGCCTAGTGTAAACAACGTCCAAACATGGAATCCAAAACAAGAGGAGGACCATAGATTGTTTTTTAGATTAGAGGTTAACTAAAAGAAATTGTTAGCATTACTAAAGGATGTTATGAGAATAACTAGGTACATAACAATATGTGGTCTAATTTTATGAAACAGCCTCTATCTTAAATATGCCAAAGTTAATCCAATCAGTTTCTGCACAAAAAACTTACTTGTAAGCATAATATATTGACATCAGATGCTCCAGCTGCATCAATCATGGGTTTCACCTTTTGCATGAGAGCATTCTTTTGGTCTGCAATGTGTGCAGTAGTTGGAAGAGCGATAGAATTCTGGATGAGGCCAACACGTACAATTTGTGGTTCCCTCAAATACTCTGCATCAGCATGGAAGCAAAAAGCCTGCGAATAACAATGCACAAAAAGAATCAGGCCATGAGGCTGCTTACGACGATATACAATACAATTGACAAATTTGATAGGCTAGTGTACATGGTACTTGCCTGAAGCACTCAAAGAATTAAGAGCCAATAAAAAGGGAACCAAACGGACCATTACACCTTATAGCAGACAGCATAACACCAAATGAATAGTTAACATTGCTTAAATTTTCTTGACTATGCCAATCCACTGTCTGTGCATTCTTGACCAAGTAATAACTAGAAATATAATATATTGCACCACAAGTGTGGACTGTGGAGTAAGAATGAAAAATTGGTATATTTTCAATATATGACCCCTGTAAGTGCCACAAAACACTCTGTAGCATCAGTTCATAAGTACAAAATGTGTACTTCATGGTGACTGTCAGTGCCAGAAATAAGCTTCTTCGTACATTATAACTTCGTTCATCCCTTTGCATATTACCCTCTTGGTTGAATAGCAGAATAGATGCTATACAAAATTTGGCAATTGCAAGTTATCTTGCAATCTGACAACCTAATGCAACCCAAGGAGATCCAGAGGCTTCAAACAAAATCTAAAAGAAGATATCATGTAGTCAAAATTTAAAAAACCAATGAGTCAATGTTGCATGTCCTGAATTCAACAAGCCATAGATATCTAAGTGAAACAACAAGAAGAAAAGGGGTGGCAGGAAACTGTGTTGGGATGGCACTTTTATTAACTATGGTCAAGCTGACAAGCTTATCCCAAATCACAATAACTTTTTATTGCAGGTGAAGGTTCTAGTCATCATCGGTATCATTCCCATACAACTTCACGAACCAGAAAGATTGATTACATGTGCAGCAGTTGGTTCTTGTTCTATGATTTTGGACTAACCAGATTTTGTAGAAAATATCCAGAAAAAAGATATGAATAAATATTTAATGAAAGTCAAGAAATTAGTAATAAAGATTCTCTCCTACATACTTCAAATCTTTCTCGAAGCAGAAAGGTTGACTATGTGTGCGGTAGTTCTTTCTTGCTTTATGAGTTTGCACTAACCGGATTTTGCAGAAAATATCCAGAAAAAAGATATGTATTTAAATATATAATGAAAGTCAAGAAATTAGTAATAAAGGTTCAGATTTTAGTAACAAAAACCCAAGCAAAAGATAAATTAACTAAGGCCACGGAGAACAATCGTACCTGCAAATCAAAATTATATGCTTCAGATAGAGTGGTCGCAGCCATGGGCAAAGAAATCCGCTGGAGAGGGCTCCAAGAGTTCAGTCCCAGCAGCAAGCGGCTAACTTCCTGTAACGCAGTTGCAACAAGTGCATCACATGTTAAAACCGATCAATTCTCTCATGACTTCACGGAAGCAAAAGTAAAGATCATATTCTCTTTTTGATAGATAAACAAGCAGAGCCAGCAATCATAAGCATCGAATTCTCCTTTTTCTTTTTCCTTTTTCGCAAACATATAACTTCACGAATCACTTTAAGAACGGCGAGGGCAGATCCACAGATAACGTGCCTTCCCCTATCGGTGCCGCATCCAAGAATCATCGGCATCTAATCAGTAGGGAGGAGAGGAAGAGCGAAACCTGGAAGATCGGGGGCTTCAGATTCGCCTCGAGGAGGCGATGGAGGGACTCGAAGCCATGGATGGATCCTGGCGCCGAGATCTCTTGCCCCTCCGCCGCCGCCCCTCCGTTCTCCTCTCTTTCCTGGTGGCTTCCCATCGCCGGATGGAAGTCCTCCGTCGGGGAAGATATCGGCAGTCCGGTACGTTTTCTACAGCCGTCTGCTGGTGGGTCCCGCGTCGTTCGACGCAAAGGCTTCAATTGCGTCAAGGGTAAAGGAGCGGGTGACAGTCCGCGACGGGTAAAAGTGCCATCAGATGCATAGTAATAATAATTCCTAATGAATAATAAATATGTCCCAAATCAATTCTGTAATTACGTCGCTTCATGGGCTTTCATGGGCTTGGATTGGGTATTCGATCTGTGAATTGGATCAAGCTCGAATTGGGTTTTGATGGACGCACACGCAACGAAATCAAATCAGGTAAGTGCAACGAATGTCGAGTCAGCACAAGAAGACAAGAAGGTCGAGTCAGCACGAACCCCCCAATCGTCCCCGTCCTCACGAGAAAGCTCATAAGTTCATTGGATAGCGTTTACAATATTTAACAGAGAAAAACCGAAGAAAGATTGCGTTTGGAAGACATGGTGGGCTATTGGAACATTACATAGCAATTGACCTGTCACAATAATTTGTTGTACTGATGGAGGTTGATGCGAATTATTGATGCAAATAATTGACATGCAAGTACATGTGTTCTGTGGAGAAACGACCCGTAACCACGTTGAATGACACATCATGTTGCGATCTAAGAATTTGGTCACTCTGAGAAACCGAATTATTGGTGCAAAGAATTCGAATCTTCTTCTTATATTTCAATTCTGATTACATATTCTAATAATAATCGAAATGGAACCGTCAGAATCACCGAGTCTATGCGACGTTCAATGTCCGTCGGCAGCAAGACTCTTTTGCTGTCGCAAAGAAACACGGGGGGGCCCAGAAATCTCAATAATTGATGCGGACAAAAAAGCCGACGACTCGGTTCAAGAAACGACGGGGTCCCATCGGAGGGAGGACACATGAGATCAGATCACTTCAGCTGGCCACAGGAAATCCAGCGAGGCTTATCCACGCCAGCGTAGACGTGTTCCCCGCTCGCACAAGGTAATCGGTGGCTCCACGGGGCCACATCCCTTTACACGTCATCGGCGTCGCAACCTCATTATCATCGATGAGTTCACGCTTCCACAGTTCCGTCGGCTTATCCTGCGTCGGCTTTTCCGATTGGTCGCAGGGTTGTCGGAGAGCTCACATTATTTTGATTTGTTGCCACCCTTTGGATTGACGGTTTGGATTTATCTTCATCATGCCGAGAGTACTGTGATGTCATTGTTGCTTCAATCATTGTATTGCATTATTGAGATGGGAATCATAGTTCGCTCCAATGTTATGCTGACACGCGGAGATCCGAATCAGTCAGATACCGTCGGGGCTACTAAGCTTATGACTCAACTCGGTTTCTTTAGTCAGTTCAGAAGACACTAGTATGGTTTGGCATGTCTTTAAGAGACCCGACCGCAGTCACATCCGATTGATTAGTGTGTTTGTTTGTTTTTGTTTTTTCGAAAAAAAGCAATTTGATTGAAGGTTAAAACTTGGTTTACAAATTAAGAAAATATGGGAATTAGTATGAGATCAAGAAAAAAAATATATAACTTTCTTAAAATTGGAAGGTCGATGAGCCATGTCATTTATGGTTTAGAGAAAAACGTAAAGAAGTAATACTCTTTGACCGAGTAGTTATAGTGTTTGGCATTGTTTCTACTAGTTCAAAAGAATCAAAAACTAGCGACAATAACTATCAGACCATCTTCCAATCCGATCAAATCTCCTCCGAAGGATTGATTATTTTTACTTTATTTAAAAAATATATATATGACTTTGGAGGGTTTTACGGATTATATTTTGGATATTCTCACTTTAAAGACTCATTTGATTGAAAAACTTGTTTCAATTGCTTACGGCGACCAAAAGGGGTGTGAAAATTAATTAATGAGAAATTTAATCTAATTTATTTTGGTTGATCATGCATAGGTGTTTGAAAGAAAAAAATACAACTTGATGGAAGCCATGTCTCTAACTAGACGTGTAAATGTAGGTGGGCCCGCATAATGACAAGTGATGCGTATATGATAAAAAGGACGAAACGAGTAAAGTTAAGAAATTTGAGGCCACATGATATTAGTGGTCATCCCACGTTAGCGTTGTATTTTCGCTAGATAATATGTCTATATTGTGTCGTTTTCACACAAATGCCAATGACATCAATTTATGTTCAACCTTTTTATTATTTTTTAAATATAATATATGACATATATATATTATAAGGGTGAAAATAAACGGATATAATAGTCTCAATTGTTTGCTATAAAAAGAGGTAACCAAGTACATATCGAGACACTAAGTATTTCAAATCCGACTTATCGATTGACTTAAAGCTTCATATATAATTTTATAAGATTCACCTTAATCGATTATGAAAAAAACTAGGTTAAATTTGAATGAGCTTCTAACTATAGAGTGAGTGTGTGAGTTGTCATATCTATGTTGTTGCAGTTGCATGTGAGGTGCGAGTCAGATTGGTGGAGCTTTGCAGGGATAGCATGGTGGCATGGATTCGACTGTCACAAGGACTGGTTGGTGCATGTGGCCATGTGGGAAGCCAAGACGAGTGTTTGGTGCCTCCCTTCCCTTACCTTATCCCTCTCCTTTGTCGTCTCTGCTACTTGAATGATTCATGTCTCCATGGGAGACAGGCCTCCACCTCAACTGGGCACCGCTCTCTCTCTCTCTCTCTCTCTCTCTCTCTTTCTCTCTCTCTCAGCAGATTCAAAGATGCAGATGCTCGACCATGGTCTCCACTGACGCTGTTGTTGTGAGTCACCAACATTCTTCCTGGTGTTTCATCCTTGATGTCTGGGCAATTGGTGCATTATTGCCCATAGTTTATGGCTTCGTATGTCAGTGCACGGGACATGTGGTGTGCTACTCGATGCTACTAACATCTCATTGGCTTGTGGTATGTGATTACTGGCGTGCATCCGAAGAACTCATTGACAACATCGATCCATATACGTACGCCTTGTGTTTACCACATCCTTTTCGTCTCTCATTTTAATGAATTAGATAGACACGTCAGGAACAACAATAATAGAGGCTAATGATGTGATTTTTCTTTTGTCACCTAATACATTATGTAACCCCTGACTAGGCTAAGATACTGACATGCATTAGACAAGGATGATTATTACTGCCATTGCTCTAAAAAGAGAGAGAGAGAGAGAGAGAGAGAGAGAGAGAAGAGAGAAGAGAGAGTTCTTTCTGATTCCTAAATCATCTCAAGTCACGCTCTCCGGTCTCTCCTCCCTGATTGATGAACAGAAGGGATGCCAAATGCATGTGTTGTGCAATAATGGATCGTAAATTAATGATTGCATGGGATGGCCTCGATGCATCGGTATCAAGTTTCACAGGTAGGAACCATGATGATGGGCCAAGGACTTGTCACATGGAATGTCCATAGAGGGGTTTCATGTCGGATATAATTCTGTCCTACAAAGCAGAAACACGAAGTGGGTGTGAGGTTGGTAATGACAAAGATGCTTTTAGCACCGCTTGGTGCCAATGTAACTCCAGCGAAGGAATATAATACGTACATACATGTATATTAAAGTTTAAATATAATTAGCATTGAGAGAAAATGGAGAAAAACTCTAAACTAATAATAATAAATTATACTAAAATCAATGTGATAGAAATAAAAAAAATCATTATGTGAAATCATGATTCCTTTTTATGTATTTTCTTTCATTAAAAATTCTACAAAGTGTACATTTAGATATCCTAGAGAGAACTTAAGATGACACTGGCCAAACAAGGTACTAACAAATAATAATAATAAGATGTAGGGATATTTGTCTCATCATTTAATAAGATAGATAAAAAGGTTTTGGAGTATGATTGTCTTGAATCTCCGTATACATCAATCTTAGATAGATTGACTCAAAACCAAAATAATTTAAAGAAAATTTCAACAAGTAAGAAACCATGTTCTATTATAGGTTACTAATTTGCTTGACTTGGTCTCTGCTCTTATGACTGGTCAAACTTCAAGAGCTTTCTTTGAAGCTTCCATTTCCTGGGTTGGTGTGTTGTTGGCGTAATCTCTTTTTCTTCTTCTTTTAAGCATTTCGTTCTTACAACCTAATATTTAAATCGTTTAAATCAAGGCTATACAATTTATTAGACGTTGACAAAATGCTTTTGTTATCTTCATTGCATTTTTTAATTTTCTGATATCACTTTCTATTTTTTTTATTTACTTCTAGTTAAAAAAAAAATTTGGAGTGATTTATCTGAACAAAAGTCTCTTTTTATTTTTTTTTCTAATAGGTATTTTTGTTTCGTTTTTATTCGAGCGATGCCCCTATTTCAGATAATACTGAAAATACTTATATCAATCTTAATGATATAATTTTTTGTTAGTTTTGGAGACACGTTATGGATACGTTGATTCTGATAGAAGATAAGATTCTTCCAACGAAGAAATCTCTCTATTCTGTTGAGGAAAATTATTGAGGGAAATTCTTCAATAATTATTCTTATCTTCTATTATTTTCATCAGATCCAAGTAGATGAATCATTATAGTACTTTTATTTGGGTCAATTGTAGTTTTTTTTAATAGCATTATAATGTGTTCATTGATATGCTGAAAATAATATAAAACTATAAGAAAATACTATAAACAACATGATATGTCTATTTTCTTGTAAACCATTAACAATATTAAATTCTTACGCTTGAAATTGGTTTGGTTGAGAAAATGAGTCAATTTATGTCATTTATAATATTTTTAAATAGATTTTATAATATTTTTATTATAATGATCAAAACATTTGTAATATATCCATTTTTAGTATTTTTTATATTATTTGAAATGCGAGGAATTTGTAAAAAAAATACACTTTTTGAAAAAGCAAAAAAGAATTTTTTTTTCAAATAATTCGCCTAAAGAAAAATGTGCTATTAGTAGCCTGGCCTCACTAATCCTATCCACGTGTTTAGCATGTGCACTTACGACATACAAATCGCAAGTTTTCGCATATCTTTACATTAAATGCAGCACAAGAATAGAAACAATCTCTTGCTATAAATACGCAACCAACCCCCCGGTCTCTTCCCTCGTTCATCTCCCCTGCTTCGTTTCCTCTATTCCCCCTCCCCTCCCCGCCGCCGCCGCCGCCGCTATGGCTGCCGATTCTTGCGCATATCCCCCTCTTCTCCACCCTGACCATCCCGCCGCGACTCCGACATCAAGGAAGAAATACTTACCGGTGCTCGCGTTTGCCGCCTCGGCGGCGCTGATTCTGTGCGTCGCCACATTCGCGTCCTACAGCTCGAGTGGCTCTCGCCGGACCGATTTACCTGAAAATGGAGCGTCGGAACCGAGGCGACGAATCTCCAGAGGCCCCGCCGAGGGCGTGTCGGAGAAATCCTCCATGGGGCTCCTCCGCTCCTCGCCGTCCTACCCCTGGACCAACTCCATGCTCCTTTGGCAGCGCACTGCCTTCCATTTCCAACCTCAGAAGAATTGGATGAATGGTCAACATCTCCTCCTACAACTTAATACAGCATAGCCTTCTTCTTCTTCTTTATACCGGAATGTTTTCCTGACTTGTGCCTCTTTCTTGCTGGATTGGTTCTCATGGGCTACTCGTTGTGACTGTCAACAGATCCCAATGGTAAGTGAGCAGAGACATATAAGAGTTTTGTGTTTTCTGATCCTTTTGAGATTGCTGTTGATTGACCATGGCTTCCTCTGGCAGGGCCGACGTACTACAGGGGATGGTACCACCTGTTCTACCAATACAATCCGGCCTCAGCGGTGTGGGGCAACATTACGTGGGGGCACGCTGTATCGCTCGATCTCGTGCACTGGTTCTATCTTCCCATCGCCATGGTTCCTGACCATTGGTACGACGCCAACGGCGTCTGGACCGGCTCTGCCACCATCCTCCCCGACGGCCGCCTCGCCATGCTCTACACCGGGTCGACCGCCGAGTTGGTGCAGGTGCAGAATCTCGCCTTCCCGGCCGACCAGGATGACCCGCTCCTGCTAACGTGGGTCAAATCCGAGTCAAACCCGGTGCTGGTTCCCCCACCGGGGATCGCCCCAAAGGACTTCCGCGACCCCACCACGGCCTGGTACGTCCCCTCCGAGTCGGCCTGGCGCATAGCCATCGGGTCGAAGAACGACTCGCAGCGCCACGCCGGGATCGCTCTGGTGTACCGGACGTCCGACTTCCTGAGCTACGAGCTCCTCCCCGGCGTGCTCCACTCGGTGGCCGGGACCGGGATGTGGGAGTGCGTGGACTTCTACCCGGTGTCGACCGAGTCAGCGACGGGGCTGGACACGTCGGCGGCGACGGGGCCGGGGGTGAAGCACGTGCTGAAGGCGAGCATGGACGACGACAGGAACGACTACTACGCCATCGGCACTTACGAGGCGGCCACCAACGCGTGGGTGCCGGACGACCCCGAGAAGGACGTGGGGATCGGCCTGCGGTACGACTACGGCATGTTCTACGCGTCCAAGACGTTCTACGACCCGGTGAAGCAACGCCGAGTCCTGTGGGGGTGGATCGGGGAGACCGACAGCGAGCGCACCGATCTCCGGAAGGGCTGGGCCTCCCTTCAGGTAATCAATCGAGTCACCTCACTTAATCTTCCATTTACCACGAGAAAAGACAATTCATTTTTAACTCGGAATAAAAGGAAGGAAGAGAGGTCATCAGAAAGATACATCTACGGAGAACAATTCATGGATCAGTGTTGCAAATGGTGAGATGGACTTCTCATACGTAATCCTATTCACGTGGGCGGACCTTCCCACGTAAAGTCATCTCGTGGCTCTGCCACGCCTGCCTGTGGAGCCAACATGTTGGACCATTCAACATGAGTTTGACTAACTAGAACAGCTTAACGTACACCAATATTGTGCAGAGAAGTTGGGGAAAAGGGAGGAGATTTAAGTGGCGCGAGAATATAGGCCCATTGTGGCTAAACCAAATCAGATAAAAGTAAGGAAGTTCCACGTAGCTAAGATTCTGAATCCTGTATGAGATCTAGCAGACTGGATTGGTTGGATACTCCTCAACAATAGGTAATTATGAGCCCGCTGACTGGCCTCCAACTTTCTGAATCACATGAATAATACGATGATTTATAATATATGTCAATGCTGCCGCCACCGACTAGCAGAAGCCTCGTCGACAAACGCGTCGTTGTAACTTTCTTGTTCTAATCTTTGGTGGCTTCTTCTTGTGCTTCCTGGAAGCAACGTGGCCATTCGCAGTCCACGAATCACATTTAGCGTGTAGTGATGACGGTCCCAACATGTGTTTGCAGACCATTCCGAGGACGGTTCTCTTCGACCAGCAGACAGGAAGCAACCTCCTACAGTGGCCGGTGGACGACGTGGAGACGCTGAGGTCGGGCAGCCAAGAGTTCAGTAACATCAGCATCCCCGCCGGCTCCGTCGTTCCCTTGGACGTCGGCACGGCCACGCAGGTAGCTTAAACTCCATCGGTCGTGCTTCGGGTTCCTTATTTCCATTGGATGATTGTAATCTTACGAATGATGCAGGTGGACATCGTGGCCGAGTTCGGGGTCAACAAGTCGGCCTTGGCCGGCGCGGTCGACGCCGCGGTGGGGTACAACTGTAGCACGAGCGGCGGCGCCGCCGGAAGGGGCGTGCTCGGCCCGTTCGGCCTGCTCGTGCTGGCCGACGACGATCTATCGGAGCAGACTGCTGTTTATTTCTACTTCGTGAGAAGCACTGATGGCAGCATCAGCACTCACTTCTGCCATGACGAGCTCAGGCATGCATGCCACCCTGCTCTTCTTGTTCTCTCGCACTTGAGTCAAACAACAAGCTAAGTTTGCAATCTCGGAAACGCAGGTCATCCGAGGCAGCTGACATCGTCAAGAGGGTGTATGGAAGCTTGGTTCCGGTGCTTGATGGTGAAACCTTATCAGTACGCATACTAGTAAGTAATTTGCTTTGTTGGCACGTAGATATATTAAATGCTGTCTCACGAATCAGCTTAAGCTTATGAATGACTGCTGCAATGGTTTCAGGTGGATCACTCTGTCATAGAGAGCTTTGCACAAGGAGGCAGGACATGCATCACATCACGTGTATACCCAACCAGCGCAACCTACGGCGGGGGACGGCTCTTCCTCTTCAACAACGCCACCGGAGTCGATGTCACGGCCAAGTCGCTTAAGATCTGGCAGATGGGTTCCGCGTTCATTCGGCCGTTCTCTGAGCACGACTCAGTTTCACTCCACTGATCTCGAACAGCTTCGTCCAAACTTCAACCAGACAAAGTTGAGGCAAACTCCATCGTCTTCCTGTAGAAAAAGGAATCTGCTTCGATCGCATTCATTCATCAGTTCACCGGAAAAGGTCTATCGAGATGGATTCGATTGTCTACTTGCTTTTGTGTGAAGGCCTTTCCATGTAATTCTTTTGGGAGGATGTCATTTTGATTATTTTCTTCAGAAATACATGCATAAATGTGTGTGTCCAGTCAAAACTCATTCGATTAATGGGAACAACCTCATCATTTTCTTATATATTCTTTTTAATCGAATGGAAGATTACAGTGCCAATTAATTTGATCTTTAGTGCCTTTCAGCTATCCTTTTCTGAGGATCGATGTGAATATTATGTAGGCAGTAGATTTTGTTCTACATAATGAGGTTTTATAAGGGGGTTAAAAGTTGGTCACACATCTACATCGAGGAAGAAACATGCATTGATTCTGAGTCATGCTTCCTTGTCCGCAGTACATTATTGTCCGGACGTGTATTTAACACATGGATGCCTTAGATCTGAGATGCTCGATCGATGGTACATACACAGAGCTTAATTAATCCCACCACAAGCATCTCACAACAGAGATTATGCTTCAAGATTTGGTCTCTCATCATGTTAAGTAAGCACATTCCAAATGGCGGAGGTTGGGATAAAGACTCAAATCATTGGAACACTTCTTTAATGGCTTGTGCGGCGGGGTTCGATCGAGTCATATGGTGAGAGGGAAAGAGAGACAGAGGGAACGCCTTGTAAAGTAGGCAAAGCCCAGAATTCATTCCCACGGCAGGAAGTAGTGGAAGAAGACCGGCAATTGTTCCCATTTCCGTTCCATTTCGATGGCTTTTGTTTGAGACCGTAGCGGGTTTTGCGGAGGAAGACGGGAAGATGCTTCAGAAGTTCGCGTTAGCGGTGAAGACCAAGACCATCGAGTTCTTCGCCGAGGAGGACGAAGAAGAGGAGGAGGAGCGGGCGGTCGGCGTCGATGATCCCGATGCTTGCCCTGCTCCGGAGGAAGTCATCACCGGTCAGCGCGTCGTTGTCCTGAGGCCCGACCCCGCCCCCCGGCCTGACCCCGAAACCCTCACCGCCGCCGCCCTTGCCGCGCTCTCATCCTTCCAGGCCGCATACCTCCACCTCCAAACCGCCCACTCGCCCTTCCTCTCTGACGCCGTCCTCTCCGCCGACCGCGCCGCCGTTTCCCACCTTCGCCGCCTCTCCGAGGTCAAGCGCCTCTACCTCAGCACCGGCCCTGGTCCTAGCCCTGTTCCCACCTCCGCCCTCCCCCTCTCCTTCCTCCTGGAGGCGCAGGTGCAGGACAATCAGGACCTCCTCCGCACCTTCGAGGCCCTCGTCGACCGCCTCCAGTCCGACATCGACCGCAAGGATGCCGAGGCCGCCGCCCTCGAGAAGGCGCTCGCCGACCTCGACGGCTCCGGGGTGCGGCTCGCCCACCGGCTCGAGCGTGCTTGTATGCCGGCCGAGGAGAGGGTGGAGTCGCTGCTCACGATCGGCGTCTTCGACTCGGTGCTCAGGGACACCTGCCGGGTGACGCATCGGTTCGCCAGGGTCTTGATCGACTTGATGAATTTGTCCGGGTGGAATTTGGGTGTGGCCGCGAACTGCATTTACCCGGACGTCAATTTCACGAAGCCGGGACACTGCCGGTACGCCATCCTCTCGTACATTTGCTTGGGCATGTTTGGAGGGTTCGATTCGTACGACTTCTGCGACGATGGGGATGGAGTTGACATGGATGAGATTGATGTTTCCATCCGGAGAACCGATTCTTTGCAGCAATTCATCGAGCACTCGGCTCTTGATCCATTGGAGCTTATGCGAGATTTTCCAAGTAGTGATTTTGTGAAGTTCTGCAAGAAGAAGTATGCCAAGCTCATTCACCCTGGCATCGAATCCTCTCTGTTGAGGAATTCGGCCATTGGAGAATCTTTGTTGGGGTCGTTGACACCGTCAAGTCCCCTGTATGAGTCATTTGCGAGCATGGCCAGCTCCATATGGATGCTTCACAAATTGGCCTGGGCATATAATCCCGTGGTGAAAATCTTTCAGGTAGCCCCAGGGACTGAATTCTCAATGGTTTTCATGGAGACCATTGTTCCTAAGGTCGACAAGTTGCACATGGACTCTGGGAGTTCTTCACGGCCAAAGGTCGGGTTTACTGTGGTTCCAGGGTTTCATGTTGGCAAGACAGTTATCCAGTCTAGAGTTTACCTAGATGACTCAGAGCAGACATTATAACTATATATTCATTTGTGTACATGGGGATACTTAGAGACATCCTTTGGGTATAGGAGATAACATAAAGAGCGTTTACAAGTTTGTATGGATAACTTGAAGGACCAACAAAGTCCGCTGGAAAATACATTTTGATTTTTCTTTTGACAGCATTATGTTGGTTCTTTTCTTAGCTAAAAATATTATATGATTGAGCACATCGCTTGTGTGCCATTCTGTATAATATCTAACATAATCTTCGTGAAAAATTCCTTCCGAGTTCAATCTAAATCAAAAGTCAAATTGTATTTCGGTGACAAAAAAATTATATTTGCAGACAGGTGATATGGTGAAATAGTTATTTCTCTCAAGTCTCAAGCATAGTTATATTGGACTATTAAGCTGTTAATTGCAAATATTTGAAATAATGTAAAGTTTGATTACTGAAGGTCTTGAAATATTATGGTCCAGAAATTCCCAGAGTTGATACGCAAGGTATTGGTTTGCAAAAACCTTGTGCTTGGTTCAATATGCTATTTTATAACATTTTTTTAATAACTGCACAGAAAAATATTCTTATTTGATCATTTGTAGATTATGCATGTTCAAGGAACAAGTAAGATAATAATTGCCAAAAGCATTTGCTACAAGTTTGTGCAGATTGGTATATTCATGGCTGATGATATTTACACAGCTTTGGTGTTTTGATCTGTTTAATCCCAAAGCTCCTTGATAATCTATGTTCATGTTTTCATCCAGCTACACGTGCATTCCTGATTGCTAAAACTCTGGTGGTTTCATATGGAAGAATTAACATAATACTGACATGTGCTTCTGCTTTTGTGGTCAGTTCTTTTATCTGCCACGTTTTTGGTTTTATCACACAAATGGTAAATCTTAGTATAAATTTTCTAAATTAGAGTTGTTGGAAAGTTGTCTTTTGCATTTTACTTGTTGGTGAATATGATATTGATAAGATTAAGCCCTTGGCAGTTGTGGGAAGTGACTAAGCAGTATCATCACTCATTGTTGGACTTTGTAAGTGTGTGTAGCTCACATCCATGTGGCTCTGATGTTTTTGACCTTTTCTGATGTGCTATGTTGTCCATATCTGGGGCAGGTAGTGCAACACAGTTTGGCATGATTGGAGTCAAGGTAGCCTTCCACCATTCATTATGTTGCTGCCAGCATATCACTGGAGCAGGTACATTCATTACCAAATAATTTCTGGTAAGATGCCAGTCTTGAAGCTGGTAGTATAATGCCGAAAACATGAGATGCTTCCTTTTGACTTTTATGCTTGAAATTAGATATTTGTCTTTACATCTATCTCATACCAACTACTTGCAAGAACATTAACAATTTCTCTGATGATGAATGAACTTGTTAGGGAATTTGATGGAAGTATTTCATAATGAGGGGAATTAATTTGGAGCAGTTGCTTGCCATTTATACTTTTTTCTTGATTTCTCTTCACTCTGACCTGTGGGAGGTATCTTTACAGCTCTATCTCTCTTTTACAACCATTGCGCTTGGAGTTAAGGCTCTCCAGGAAAGTTAGGCTAGACATCTCAACCCTTTTTTGTTGTCTTCTTTGAAGCCCATTCTGGGTTCCTTGTCTTTCAGGGAACCTACCATGTGAACCTGGCATGTCTTATTATTTGCATTTTGTTATGTACTAGATCACATTGGCCTAATGAAAATATCCATTGAATAACTTGTGTCGGTTAAATTATAGTAGTCATGCATTTACTGCTCCAAATTAGCTATTTAGTTAGATCACATGTTTCATCTTATACTTACATGTGAGAGTCTATGCAGAAATTTATAGATGATGATTGTCTGACATTGACAAAAACCATGCACAGAATTTTCAGTAGGTGACTTTAAATGAAAAGCTCATTGGCAATGTTAGTTTTAAGTCCAAGCAGTTCAAAATTAAATTACAGGTTCATTTCTTCCTGTGCCATTAGTCATTCTTTCCATCCTGAGACATGCATTAGCTCAGTCGTGATAGAGATGGAAAATTAATAGATGGAGCTTGGTTCTGTTTTACATTAACTCTTGACGAGAATGCAATCTCGCTTTTGTTTAGTTTCTGATTCATCTCCTGGTATGTGAAGAAGCATACATAACTTGCTTTGTTGCTTGTCCTTCTGCAGTTTTGGCTCTCTATTTTCCAAACCATTCACCTGAATCGAAAGGAATCATCTTCAATGGGTAAGCCATCTCGACGCTTAACCATTATCTGTGCTCATGCTAGAACATGAGCTTTCTGGGCTTGTTTTTGGCTTCTCTTTCAGTGTTCGAATTTGCTTATCATCCGAAGACATCTATCAACCGTTCACCTTTTTGCTCATTATTTACTAAAGGAGAATCTTGAATCTTTGTGACGAAGAAACTTCAAATGATATGAGGAAAACTGGGAAGCTGTACTGAAGTGACGGGCCTTTTTCTTAGACCCTGGTTTAACCTGCAATGTTTGACAAGTTCAGAATGCATTGCTGAATAGTTTTGTAATGTTTTAGTCCCCATATTTTTCATGTTTTTGTTTTGTTTTTCTGCGTTCCTTTGATTCGAAGGCAGGAGGGAAGCAACGGTGGGCCGGAGTCAGGCCGGATAAGATGGGCTGGGCCGTGACATCATCCTTTTTTGTGAACCGGCACCGGGGGCTTGGGTTGGGGGACTTGTGGGGGTCACAGATACGGCCTAGCCCAAGGGTGAATGGCGAAGACGCATGCGCTCGCCCTATGGCCTGCGTTTCTGGAACATTCCTGAAGCATGGAGATCGCTCTTCCAGGGACTATAAACATTTCTTCCTTCCGGGAGGCCGAGCGATCCGATACGTACATCAGAAAACGATTCCCTCTTTGCCCCACCCGCCTTCATGTCAGAGGACGCGAAAGCGAAAGGCAACGCAGCCTTCGCTGCTGGCCGCTTCGAAGACGCCATCCGCCACTTCTCCGAGGCCATCGACCTCGCCCCCGCTAACCACGTCCTCTACTCCAACCGCTCCGCCGCCTACGCCTCCCTCCAGCGCTACGACGTGGCCCTCGCAGATGCCCGCAAGACCGTGGAACTTAATCCCGGGTGGGCCAAGGGCTACAGCCGCCTCGGCGCTGCCCACCTCGGCCGCGGCGACGCCGACCAGGCCGTCGCCGCCTACGAGAAGGGCCTCGAGATCGACCCGGCGAACGAAGCGCTCGAGGCCGGCCTCGCCGACGCTCGCGCTGCCGCCGCGCGGTCCCGGGGCCCGATCCCGCCGCAGGAGGCCTCCCCATTTGGGAAGATCTTCCAGGGGCCGGAGCTCTGGGCGAAGCTGACGGCTGATACTACCACCAGGGGCTACCTCCAGCAGCCGGATTTCATAAAAATGATCCAGGACATCCAGAAGAACCCTAACAATATCAATATGTACCTCTCGGATCCGAGGATGATGCAGGTGATCGGGGTTCTTCTCAATGTGAAGATGAGGGCGCCCACGGATGAGATGGAGAGGGATTTTATGGAGCCAGAGCAAGTGAAGCCTCAGCCCGAGCCAGTAAAGAAGGCATCGGAACCGGAGCCAGTGCCAGAGCCCATGGAGGTGCCGGAAGAACAAAAGGAGTCTAAGGAAAAGAAAGCAGAGGCACAAAAGAAGAAGGAAGCAGGGAATGCTGCTTACAAGAAAAAGGATTTTGAGACAGCGATTCAGCATTACACACGTGCAATGGAACTTGACGATCAGGACATTTCCTACATAACCAACCGAGCTGCTGTTTTCTTGGAGATGGGAAAGGTAACATTTTTTTACCTTTCATTTCCTTAGTTCAGTTGATTATTTAGCATTCTAATTTTCTGTACTGTCAATGTGATACGAAAGATGGTGGTCTCTCCCTTGGCTTTACATGATCATTCTATAGTTATCGATGAATTTGCAATCATTTTAAAGTCAGATTGCTAGAGTTATCTGTGAGTTTTTGTAGTTGAAAGGACATGATATAGGTTGATATCAATTAACAATTGAGTTTTAGGTTCTCTCTAGCTAGACAGTGCAGCAACATCGTTCACATGATGTGCACGTCTGTATATGAGTATCTACACATGTTCATGAGACATGTGTATGATACATATGTTGGTACACATGCCCACATGTACAAATATGCATATGTGTACATGGCCGGTTGTACATATATACATATGTAAACGTGCACATGTGTGATTGTGTACATATGTAACCATGTATATACATTTGCATGTATATCATTTATTGATTTTTTTAAATTACTGATGAAGTCGATACATCTCTTTCCTTCATGAAGGAAAAATAGGTTTGATCAACAAATAGAAAAGATACGAAAAAAGTTATAGGTAGTTTGCATTCTTTGTGGAATAATTAATTGGAATTGTATCAAAAAAGAGATCTTCTTTAATTCACAAGCATTGGTGTCTTTCTGGTTTTGCACAATATGCTTAATGTTATGTTGTGATTCATGCAACAAATTTAGGGAGCTTGATTTTAAAAATTCTGTTTTTTCTTTGAGTAATTAAAAATTAATAATTAGCTGAGGGTGCGGATCCTTTTCTAAATGATCTGAATATGGGGGTGTGCTATTGTTGCTGTTGTAAGGCTGGCTTCATATTTGGTTTGATTAAACAATTTGGATAGATCATATGGAGTGGAAAATTTTGGCCTTGAATTTTCGTTTCTGGCTTTCTTGGAGTCACTCCTTTTACCTTTATGAACAGCAGCAAACAATCTAAGTTTTGCTAGAGTACTGAATATATAGCCTGAAATATATGAATTGTTGTTTTTTCTCTGAATTCCAATCCCCAAAGACATTTTAGATGCTGACTGGGATTACTAGCACTCCCTCATTTTCTTGCTGCTTAAGTTCTAGGCATAATATTTTAGTCATAATTCTTATTGTGTCCTATTATTCTCTCTACCTTCTCTACCTCGTTCACTATTTGAGATAACAATTAAAGCATGCAACAAATTGTAATATTAATTTATCAAATTTCTTCCTATTCTCTACCATAAGTTGAATTGAAGAATAATCTCAATATTGTGTTTTTTTGCATAATACCCATGTCTAAGGAGGTATTGGTAGCCCCTGCAACTTTTGTATTTTTTTTTTCCCAATGCTCCATTCATCTGAGATTATTCTAGTCATTGGAGATGATATAAGTCTTCACTTATTTAATTTATTTTTTAATTTGTAGATTGAATTGCATGTTATTTTGACAATTGGGAAACATTTGAGAATTTTACCTCTGATTTGCAGTTTGAAGAATGCATAAAGGATTGTGATAAAGCTGTTGAACGTGGCAGAGAGCTTCATTCTGACTTTAAAATGATTGCAAAGGCATTGACTAGGAAAGGGACCGCTCTTGTGAAGCTTTCCAAGTGCTCCAAGGACTATGATATTGCTATTGAGACTTTCCAGAAAGCGCTAACTGAGCACCGAAACCCTGACACTTTGAAAAAGCTCAATGATGCTGAGAGGGCAAAGAAAGAATTAGAACAACAAGAATACTTTGATCCAAAAATAGCTGATGAGGAACGTGAGAAAGGTATCATTTACCTTTCTTCTTTATGATCAACCCTTTATGTGTGTTCGGGTTAACTTTTGGTTCATCCTTGCTATGTTGTCAGTGTGAAGACATGAATGCAGAAGCTTCCATCGCTCATGGTTTCTTTGTACTTATATTATTTAGATACAGTATTTTGTTAATACAGAATAAACTAGCGTAATTTCTGCATCTGCAGATTTCTTCCGGCTTTATTACTTATCTATCGAAAGTTCTTGTGCATCTGTTATCTTTGACACTCATTTTTATCTTTGGCACTCATCCATGGATCCGTTGGTTGCCCATTGCATAGTTGCCCTATGTTTGTTGTAAATATTACTGTACTTATATTAGATATTTATAAATTGAAAAATGACCAGCATCTTGCATAGTTGTCTTATATTTGTTGGAAATATTGTCTTGTCTGCTTGTCCATATCTGAATTGAAAAAATGACCAGTGGGGAATTCCTAGATGGTATTACTCATCTTGTTTTATAAACCTGAGTTACAAAATGATCCAAGTTATCTTTACCGAGTAAGAAAGCTGCTTGTGTAAGCAAATCACAATAGTTCAAGTTGGAGTGTTGATAGTATTTAAGTCATTTCTTTTGTTGCATAAGTGCATTTCTAAGCAGACCAACCATACTTTTGTTGTTTTTTTTTTCTTTGCTTTCCATTCCTTTATCATCTTTAGATTTCTGTATCCAAAATGGTCCTTCCATATCATTCGCCACCTGTGCTTCAGCTTCAGTTGTCTCCATGATTGTTACAGTTTCTTATGTGCTGATGAGATTGGCTAGCAACTGTCTAGCATTATTAATGTTGCAGAAATATCTTGAATTTGTTTTTAACTATATTGTATTTATGATTGTTCAATGGCTGATTAAAACAAAATGTAACCCTTTTTTCTGGGAAAATACAACAGTTGGATTGCTAAATATGTGACTGTACAGGTAATGAGCTTTTCAAGCAGCAAAAGTATCCGGAGGCAGTTAAACACTATACCGAAGCTCTAAGGAGGAACCCAAAGGATCCAAAGGTAATTTTCTCCTGCTTATGTTGCTTGCTTAAAGATTTATAGGGTAAATTGAAATTGTACAGCAGCTAGGTTTCTCGTATGGCATTTTACTTTTAGACCTTTTACATATCTCTAACATCCAGTAGCAATAGCTGCAGCTAGACTTTTGTAGTTTGTATCAATTATTTGATCATTGGAAAGTTTCATTCATCTTATAATTGAAATGGTTCTTGTTTATCCTTTGTATTTGTTCTTTCAGTTGACCCTCGAATTGCTTCCATAGGTTTACAGCAATAGAGCCGCATGCTACACGAAGCTGGGTGCTTTGCCTGAAGGTTTAAAAGATGCAGAGAAGTGCATTGAGTTGGATTCATCCTTTTCTAAAGGATACACAAGGAAAGGTGCAATCCAGTTCTTTATGAAAGAGTATGACAAAGCTTTAGAGACTTATCAGGAGGGCTTGAAACACGATCCAAACAATCAGGAGTTGTTGGATGGTGTCAGGAGGTAAGTTGGTTTTTCTGCAAACACGTAAACTTTATGTTTGATTTCTGGCCTCTTGGAGTTGCTTGGTATGATAAATATATTTCATTTTGTCAACTTCAGGTGCGTTGAACAGATTAATAAGACAAACAGGGGGGAAATTAGTCCAGAGGAATTGAAGGAGAGACAGGTAGCAAATCATCTTCATGTGTACTCTCTCAAGTGTCATGTTGGGATAGTTTATTCACTTTGTTGTTCTGCAGGCAAAGGCTATGCACGACCCTGAAATCCAAAATATCCTTACAGATCCTGTTATGCGACAGGTAATTATCTAAATGGCATTTCAATATTGCGTCTTCTCTTTGGTTACAGATCTCATGTGTGTCTGCCTTTTCAGGTGTTGATCGATTTCCAAGAGAACCCTAAGGCTGCACAGGAGCACCTCAAGAACCCTCAGGTTATGCACAAGATACAAAAACTTGTGGGTGCAGGGATTGTGCAGATGAGGTAGAGGATGGAATCCAAGCTTGGATTTGTTTGATGTGCTCCTTTTTGAGGGTCTATTTGTGTTTGGTTCCAAATATGAACATGAAACCTGTACTATGATGATGATGTCCTCGGTTCATTGTTTCAGTATCCATTTCTGTGGTACTTTCTTGACTCTTTTCTTTAATCTTTTTGCGTTTGTTTGGTGAACTAAGAATCATGTAAGTTATTGGCAGTCATTACATATCTGTCCTCTCTGCTGAGTAATATGTTTTGCCTTAAAACGATGATAAGATGAATCAAGCTTGAAAAATGTAAGATATATTGGTGTTCTTATGTTGGTTTGACCGGAAATAGATCTCTCGTATGCAGGACATCATCAAACTTCAAATCTCACGAGTGATTCTTGTTTATCTCAGGGCCGCTTTTCTCTCTCTTCTTAACAACAGCAGCTTGAGATAAGCAGGACTGTATGATGCTGAATATATCTTTTTTTTGTCTGCTAAGCCTGCAAACGCTCATTATTTTTGTTATTGCACTCGTCTCATGTATTGCTATCTGCATGTCTATTAGTCACTCTCATTGGATGACTCTACTAGAAATGGTAGTTGGAGTGGGAGGCGGAAGAGGGGATTTTAGAAGGGTGCATGAAGCTGCAACTCGATACTGCTGAGCCCAAATACAATGAAATATTATTGTTCTAAAGATGATCTTACAACATATAAGCACCGCTCCGAGATGAGCAAAAGTAATTTCCAACCTTACAATGCTATGCAAGCATGCAAGTTGAAGCTTGCACAAAGGTACGAATGTGATGGAAAGAATTATAGGGTTCGGATTAAAGTGAAATTGGACTATTACCCGACAAGCAAAGATCCGCTTTCCAACCCCACCGCCGCCTCATGGCCCATCCCCATATCTCCCACCATCGTACAGGCAACCCGACCAAGGGGAATGCTACGACCTAATTGGTGGGTCCCAGGAGGGAGTATCATTTAAGGTTCTTGTACTTACTAAATTTATATTAAAATTTCTATAATTCTTTAAATACCTATAATTTTAAAAGTAAAATAAATAATTTTATTTGTCCTGATATCGCCAGTTACATTGATGAAAAATATAACACGTGACATCACATGTTGGATCGACATGAAAGTAATTGATGAGCAACTTGGTAAGTGTGTCATCAATCATATGACCATGGAGGAAGTGACGACGAGACCAACAAAGGCAAAGACTCCCATGAAGAGGGGGTGGCCCAATGGCCTTGCCACTTGGTTTGCTTGCCTCTTAACATAGCGAGAACCATCGTTATTGATATGCTGAGTGTTGTCACCACCTAATTCTTGACGTAGTGGCATTTAGAGGCCGATGGTAAAGAATCTTCATAAGGCCGATAGTGAGGAATGCAGCAGCTATATGCCTCTCTCTCTCTCTCTCTCTCTCTTCATGGGAGCCTTGGCCCTTTACATTTCAGCTTGCGTGAGAAACCATCACACACCAATCGCACGATCGCATTCACACAACGCACGCCACATGTATGAGCATTTCACACCATGATCCTCACCACAACCCATGCCACCACTCACGACACACTAATGTTGCTCGCCAGCTACCCCAAGGGATTGGAGATAGAGAGAGAAGCAAAAAATGGGTGAGGGAATGAGATCACAAGAGGAGAATAAAGAAAAGTGAATTAGGTATCATCTTCCTCCTTTCTTCAATTTTTTTGGTCATGTGGAAACTCAAAATTGAATTAGACTTGGGCTCAATCAATTGAACTAGTTTCTCATTGAATTTGTCCAATTTACATGAGAAACCATCGTGTCCCTCTCATCGTCATTGCGTTCCTCGTTGTCGGCCCTTTGGGCGATACAATACTAAGTCTCTAAATGATCATGTTTGATTGGCGAAGACTCCCAAGAAAAGAAGGAGACCCTGAGTTATTACGTTCCTTATCATAACCTTACGAAGATTTCTCATTGTGACGGCTCTGGGCCTTCCCCTCTTCATGGGAGCCTTTGCTTTCATTGGCTTCGTTATCACTTTCTTTATGGAAATAATCTTTGACCATCCAACCCCATTTAACTCATCTTCATGATTAACAGTACACTCAAAGCTACTCGTCGTTCTAAACAAAATAAATATTATTAATTTCAAGCGTGTAGTATGATGTGTTATATTTTTCATGAATACAACTAATAATATTACGATAAATGAGATTATTTATTTTATTTTTAAAATTATAAAAGATCACGATGTAAATTTTTTAATTATAATGACTTAGATGCTAATATGTAACGAGTCCAGAGAATGTTTTCGGGCGGTTGATGTCCCACCAAAACCCTACTTAATTGTAAGATATCGAGTCCGAGGAAGGGGGCGACTCGGAGCAGCGGTGGAGGAGATAAAAGGCCATGCAACAGCGGAGTGTCTCTGCCAGCCGGCGGCCGTCGGGAACGGATGGCTCGGATTTCTCCTACCGCATGGTCGTCGATTCCAGTACGTTTATTTTCCGGGATCTCTCTGCAAGCTAGATCTGATCGGCTGCTGCAGATCTCTTTAATTCGTCGCTTCCGATGGCAGGGTACACCAGGGTCGCTAAAGGCAAATCCAGGCTTGGAGCTCTGCTTGCCGCGCAGGTAACAGAGATTTCCTTTATTTTATCTGTGTATTTGTTACATACCAAAACCCTTCTCCTTTTGCTTTTCTGAAATCTGGGATCGTATAAAATCAGATCCTGTACCATCAGTGTCAGAGGTTATGCACATTTGCTCTCAGATGCTTGCTGTGCAAAGCTTCTGATTCTGTTGTGTTGTTTGCACATCAGGTGCTTGGTAGAATGTGAGGCAAATTACAAATCTCAATTTCGTTTGTGGACTCTTTGATCAAGACGAGAATGTATCTCTCTATCAATATGACAGAGGTCGAAAACCTACTACAAACTTTTAATTTGTTAGGTATCACACCATATTTATAGGTTTCACCGCTTCTCTTGTTTGTGCTTATGTGTAAGGGTTTATATAGTGTCTATGGTACCAGGAATCAGTATAATGACATGGAAATGTTATTCCAAAAAAATTATACTACCTTGAGATTTTCTTGGTCACCTTACAACCTGTCATTTTTAGCAACATTTGTTCTTTCCGTTTTACTTGGTATTCCAGTTTTTAATTTTTTTTGGCTATAACATCAACGTTGTTAGACACTTAAGTCGAGTCCACGGGAAACAAGTTATAAAATTGAGATATGTTCTTATAAGTTGTAATATTTGATTTTCGCTTCATCATATTGTCACGGGCTTAGCTAGAATTGCTTAAGCCGTGATGCACCCTTGTGGCCAAGACGTGAACTTAGTTTGGATTGCCTAAGTCGCGAAGCGCCCTTGCGATATGCATCCGCAAAAGTCAGCCAAGTTGCAACCTCACTCAGGTCCTTCGAAGAATGTTGATTAGTTCGAAGAACGAACGACAGACAAGTCCCGAAGTTTCGCGAAAGGGGAAGCTTTACAAGAAATTCAGCGAGCACCTTGCGTGCACAAGAGAAAAGAGGGAGAGGAGGAAAACAAGGACTTTAGAAGGTTGAACGAACAGCTGCAAGTCCACAAACAACTGCTCACCGGGTGCCGGGCGCGACAACAAGTTCCCGTCAAGGTACCGTGCGAACTTGCGAAAGATTGTTCAACGCCCGACACTATACTGAAGCCCCATCCCCCATGGTGCCACCCGGGTGGTTCCAGGGTGCTGAGATGGCTGACGTTTCGCGTGCAGTGGCGGGTTGTAGAAAACAGCTCGTGGCACGCGAAAACGGAGCTGTTTTGGGTTGTTTTACTCGGTTCGGTGAGCGGTCGCACTATAGCTTTGCAACTTGTTCGAACTTACATTTTTACAAGCAAAAAGATATAAAACCAAGCCAAAACATGCTGCCACGCAGCTGTACATGTAAACACAAACAACGAACGGTTCGTTGAACAGAGTTGTTGCGGGCGCGCGACGACCGTTCGTGACAATATGGTTAAACCTTTTAGAAGGGGACAAAAGCACAATTCAATAAAATGACTAATCAACTCTACGATATACAAAAACAAAGTAAATCCCTCTGGAGGTTTTTTCATTTTACATTTGTATCTGCATGGCAATGTCAATTGTGCAATCTAGATAAGGTCATGGCAACAGACATGTTGGAGTCTTAACAAATAAGGATTTCAGTGCACTGTTCCTGTGTGAACATAAACTGCAATAATTTAGGTTCTCGATATCAGCTAGCATGTTAGGTTTATTGATAAAACCACTTTTTGACTATATTTCTTTTGGCTATGATCTTCCCTTATGTTCAGATAGTTGACCTCAGTTCTATAGCATATTAAAACTTCGTGAAGCATTTTTGACTCTAGATGTCCTATACAATTAGAAGCTGTTTGTAGAAAAGGCCTGTACTATGATGATGCCCACCAATTTTCTGGTGCTTGTGGTTTATTTGAGAGGCTTTCCTGAATTATTCATACTGTATTTCGAAATATACAACTTGAGTACATTGGTTGGAAAACCTTTATTTGAACCATTCTTATCAGTATTAGGTTTTAATCCTTCTAATTGGAAACTATTTGCGATGGAAGTGTTGTACCAATATCCTAGAGATTTTGGTTTCAGTTTGCTATGGCTATTCATCTTTATCGTCAGCTATTCATCTTATTGACAATATAATCTCATGTTCAATTTTCCGGGCATTTGATCTAATGATATAGGGTGTAATCGATGCTTGTTATCTGTTTGTGTTGCATAGCATGTAATGTAATTGTTGCAATGAGTTGTAATTGTTGCAAGTTGTCTTGTGATATGTATTGTCTAACGTTAAGTAAAAAATTGACTGTATTTCGGACCTCGGTAGATATTGCACGTACATGTGCATGTATACATATACGTGCATGTATCTACATTCTACATAATATTATATATATCAATTTTGGAAAATTGACTTTAAATTAATCTTCTGGCCTATTTTAGCAAGCTAAAAACATTTTTATCTAGCAGGCAAAAGATGCCATGTTTACAGTTTATACAGTCAACTAGGGATATACTAATGCTCATTTATTTAATTATTGCTGATTGAATTGCCAGATAAAAGGTCTCGTTCCTACATAATTAATTTAAATATTTTCTGGGTTTCAACAATGACATGACTGATGGATATCAATTTAAGACATTTTGTTGCTTCAGCCCCTTTAAGTTACTTATCCATCTTGTGACCCAGCACCAAAGCTGACTATAAGAAAATTCATATTTTTATGGTTTTTCTTTTTTTGAGAGCTGTTTCTGAATCACATGCAGACTGCCAGTCAAGTGGTTTGGACATCACTAATGTTACTATCTGCATCACATGAGAAGAAGTTTGAGACCTTTGCTGCCATATCACTTTCAGTTGGATTCATTTCCCTCGTAATTGGAGAATTAGGTTTGTGATGCTTTAATATATGTTATCTTCTGCTCAGGATCAACAATTTCTGTAAGTTTGTAAAAGTAGATTGCTTTTGCTTTGAATGACTTGACAGGTCGGAGGCGCAGTCATATAACTCTGTTGAGATTGTACGCAATCATATCATCTATTGCAACTGTACTATCAGTTGCTTCTATTATTAGGAGCGACTTGCACTTGAAGGTATTGAGTTTGATTTCCTTTTTAACCAAGAACTGGTCTAGGGCTTCCCATTTAGTCTTTTACTATATATATGGGTGTTGCGTTATTGGTCACTTAAGATTTCTAATAAACTAGAGTTATTTTCTAGGACAAGTGTTTCTAATGCAAGGCCTATGACATAGGTTTATTTTTTTCCTTAAAACACCTTGTGTTAACCTCTTTGTTGTTCCTACTTAATTTATATGATTAAGCATTTCAACTATGTCATCAATAAGAATTTGTAGGTTCTCAAATCTGCAACTGCTGTTTCTAGGTATATTGTTCTTGCCTTGGTCCTTCTTTTGGTTTTCTAGTTCCTATCTGCATCTTGGTAACCTGGTTGTTATGCAAGACTTGTGTTCTGAATATGGGATCACTCCATGTGTGCACATGATTTGTGAAGTACTTATTTTATAGATGGCAAACATTAGTCTGTACCCTGTTAGGATTGTGCCTTTTCCTAATATTTTGCTGTAAACTAGCATCCTTACATTTCAAAGCCAAGCCCTTGAACCTTTTTCTTACTCTATTAAATAAAGTGGTTGTTAGCCTTGGGCTAACACATTTTTGTAGATTATATGTGTTTTCATGGTAGTGTCCCCACAAAGTTGTTTTCTTTGTGTTGATAAAATCATGCGATTCATGTATGTCCGTCCACAGCCTTTTGAGTAATCATCTCTTAGGACCAAGCTACGGTCCAGTGAGGGTTTTTTTAAATTGATATATATTTAGTCCGTTGTGCTTTCTGCTTTAACATTTGCTATTACCATTGTATCTATCAAACAATGTTTCTGTGGTTGTTAACATATCCTCTTTGGTTATCCTTTATTTGTTCCTTATTTTGTTTGCCTTTATTAAATTGCACTGAGGATATACATGGTATATATGCCTTATGGTTTGACTTGTCTACTCACTTGTTAGGTCATCAAATACCAAAGTACCGCAGATATGACATATTACGAGCTCCTTGAGATTGGACGCACTTTAATCGGTAATATGAGACCTTTTTAAAGTGGATTATCAGCTGAAAATCTATATGGAACACATCTAGAGATGAACTTTTACTGACATTTTGATGGTACCAGGTGTTATGCTGCAGATACTTATTATAATTACGACAGTTTCACTTGTGCACAACATGTCTCCCAAGAGAATCTCCTGAATCATGTCAAAGAGGGATAAGCTGCTCACAGATTGTGCTCGACACCATTTGGCTAATACTGAGGCATAGAGACTGTGATAATTGGTAAATTTTGTCCAAGAAACATCTTATGCATATTAAAATATCAGATTTGGTCAAAGAGATTGATTTCTGGTAAAAATAGGCTTATGTGGATTTGAGTCACAATGAATCAAAAATATTCCTAGATGCTTCTGGAACCCTTTCTTTGCATGGAGGGTGTGCTATTTAGGTTGGTACATCTTTATAGAATTTGCATGCCTCGTTTTTAAATTGGGAATTTAGCTACGTAGATACTCAAAATTCATTTCATACTAAAGACACTTGTTCTTGTATACTCGTAGTGTTCAAACCGGACTTGTCGTCCGTATTCTAATCCAGCATATTGAGTTTAAATACATACGAGTCCGAAATGCATCCGAATATATTACTTAATAAAGATGGTTTCCCAAGATATGGTCGAATCAAAATGGAACAAGTATATGTATTATGTTTGTTAATTATGTGTGGAGATGACACAGTCTTCGTTCTTTTCGAACAGATATTATTAATAACAATATAGAGTGCCTCCTCCTCATTGTAAAGCTAACATTATCCTAATCTTAGTGGCCGTAACAGCAATTGCATTAGTGGTCACGACAGACACAATTGTTTCACCCAAGCTTGATCGTCGCGGTTGGCGTAGCTAGTGAGTCATGCCACGCGACAAACCTGGACCGTACGATCTTGATCTCCTGGTGTCTCGGCAGCATCCTCCATGTAACGGACAAAGTCAAATCGGTAGAGAGCAGGACGCGGTCCCACCCGCTTAATAACTCGCCACGTTGCTCGAATTAATGAGTCACGTGAGTTACCACCCTTCGCGGGTAAGCTCGTCAACCGCCACTCACCATTCGACACGTCGCGCACCCCCCACCTCAGCCGGAGCGGCTCGGCTCCACGAATGTGCTGTGGTTGTCACAACACGCCACCTTGAGCCGAGCCGCTGTGTACGGCGCGAGCCAGCGAGAAGAGGAGCTGGCTTTGTTCTGGGCGCCTATAAATTGATCTTGCTCGACTCCCGCGGAACGCACAGGGAGTCGTCGCACCCAACGGGACGGATTAAGAAGGGCCACTCCAGGCGATCCGTGGGCGAAATCTGTTCGATCGTCGGGTTTCTCTCCTCTTCGGAATCGTTTCTCGGTTTTGGGGTTCATCACTGTGAGTCCTTTTAATCTATTCTGTGATTAACTATCACATCGGAAAATTAGGGCTAGGGGTTTTGTTGGTACTTTGGGAACGCGCCAAGATGCTTAACTTAGCTATTCCTTTGCTCCTTTTTTTTAAGATTAAACCATAGGAAATGTTTACGAAACATGATCTATTTTCTTCCTTTATTTAGTTTATGGTCGAATTTTATCGCTTTTTAGGACCTGTTAATTTCTCGACCATGATTCTTATACCTTTTCATGACGAGAAAATTCCTTTTAGGGGTGAATCTGCTAAACTTCAGCGGCGATGCACAATAATTGTGAGATCTTTACCCAAATAAGTAACATCGTTGTTCTTTTTGGGTTGCAGCGAGCTTGATACGAGAAAGCACAACAAGAACCAAGCTTCAATCAGCTGAGCAATGGAGGTATATGGCAAATCTATGATTGCCGAGCCAAGCAATGTGATTTACTTGTCCAGTATTCTTAACAAGGAAGGGCTGATTCCTAGTCACAAATGTGACAAGAGGTGCCAAAACGAACATGTGTTTGGGAACATGTACCGCTGCAAACTAACAGGACTGACACACATCTGCGATAAAAATTGTGAGCAGAGGATTTTGTACGATAACCATAGTTCTCTTTGCAGAGTGAGCGGCCAGTTTTTTCCTCTTTCGCCAGCAGAAGAGCAGGCGGTGAGAGGAGTCCGAAGGAAGCTGGAAGTGACAAATACCGATGGCTGTGCTTTTAAGCGCAGGCGCGATGCCCAGCTGCATCCTTCTCCCTTCGAGAGGATCTTTTCTGCAGTCTCTCCAATATGCAGTCAAATTGGAGATGGCATGGATATGAGTTAGAGCTGATTAGTTCCATTTCTTTCCCTTCTCCCTTTCTTTTCCCCCAGCCATCTTTGTTCTGGATGGAATCAAGGGCTTCTATTTTATTATGGAACTTGGAACTGAACTATTTTGTCAAGGGTATGTAGGGAATCTGCAGTAACTTCTACTTGGTACTGTTCTGCTGTAACTGTTTTAACTTTGAACTTCCTATTAAGAGGCTAATAGTCTTGTGAACCAAATATCTAGGTTTACCTCCTGAGAAATTATTGTTGCTTATTTCAAGAGTCACTAGTAGCTGCATCATAGACCAAGTCCTCTTAGTGTTCATTGCTCTCTTTAGTTTATATGCTTATCCTGTCCTGCATCTGGTGTAGAAAATTATGTGTGCTTTATTTGAATGCTTTCTCTCTTCATGCTTATTGCACTCTTATTGTATTATGAATTTTAACAGTCACTTGTCCTGTTCTGTGATATACGAGTATAGATCTATTTTGTTTGCTTGTAGGTCAATATGATGACTGTGTTCTTTCTCACTGAATTTGCTTAACCTTAGCTTAACTTTTGGGTGCATAATAACTTGAATTGGCAGATCTTCTGCTTCAAAGTGTGATTACCACTTTACTTGTTTATAACTTAACAATCTTCTAACTGTTTGCTAAACTGATTTTCAATTTTTATGTTTGTATATCTGAAAGTCTATGTTGTTTTGCAGGTCTTCCAAGCGCTGAAAGATCAGTATATGAAAATTGTTTTTCAGTGAATTGGTTTTTATTTTAGCACATGAGGGGCTAATGGTTCCTAACCGCATATTTTCAATTTGCAGGTGCAACAGGATGAGTGCAGTCAGATCTCTTACCATAAGACATGAGAAAGCGACTTCTTTTATATGGCTTGTGATGAGATTCTTTCATCAGATCCTGATACCTTGGAATGTATTGGTGGTCGGGCTAGAGAACCCTTTGCGGCTAATGCATCTGATCACCCAGAAAAATCACCTGTTATTTTTAAAGGTGGTATCTTGTTGCTTGTTGCAACCTATATCAAAAAGCAAACAGGCTCCTTGCAGTGCCTCTGGATGCTTCAGTCTTCTATCATGAAACAGATATATTGAATTGAGAAAGAATTAAGAATCAAGGGTGGTCAATCTCCTTACGATCACTAGCTGCGCTTTTGCTGGATGATATACCACACGTTATTTAAATGTATCCCAATGACAATTCTTATTTTTATAGGAAAACACGTCTGATGAATCTCTTTTTTTTTTTTTTACTATTTTAATGTATATGCAGCTGTACTTCAATTTTAATTAGAGTTTGAATTTTGTTTTCTTATTTTTGTTGTTTGTTTCTTGGATCGATTTCTCTTTTGTTTGGCAGCTTCGGTAGTCAGTTGCTGCTCCTGTCGTATGCAACATTTTAGATTGCTTCTGCAATTCATTTTACAAATGTTGTAAATGCTTAATGAGTGAACAGGGAATCATGTGCCACCACTATTTTGACATTATATGTTCAAAACTCCTGCACTGCTTGTCATTATATATGTAATGATAATTTATAGCATTATTTCTTTCAAAATTATGGTTGATTATGAAGAGAATTCACATATCTCACTTGAGGAAATAAAATCACTGACTTGGTACTCAGTTGAGGGACACTATCAAAGTTTGATATCTGCTTTATGCTGTCAAAATGTGTAGTCCAACAGATGTGAAAAGTGAGTTCTGTTTCTGTCATCAGCTTGCTAAAAACATCACAAGATTCATTCTTGTCGTGTCATATATTTTACTGGCTATTTCTTATCCTCTTAGTTTTGTTTCCTATATTTTCAAATGTTCTAATGGTTGATTCATTTCATACTTTTCGTATCGACCTCAAAGAGCTGGTGCATGGAAGATCTGCAAGATTAGTAAACATCAGCTAGTCCTTTGTTTTCATGACTGGCTGATCTATGTCCCCTGGTTTTTGTTTCTTCAACGCTGTTCTGATGGTTTGTTCAGATGTTATTGTATCTTTACATGCGGCACTTATGAGCTGCGGCATTCCAACGATATTAAAGTTGCAGTGTTTGACGGACGAGGATGAATTGTTAGAGATTATTTATTGGACGTTTCAGTGCTTATTGTATTGTATGCAATCGATGTATATGTTGTACAAGGGACACCGAAAACTTAGAAGGATCCTCCAAAACCGTTCATCCACTGCACTTTTGATCTCGTCCGTCCCTTTGATATCCCCGTGATGATATTTATAGCTCAGATCCCGGCAAGCGCAACTGCAGTTGGTCCACAAAGCGGACGCCATGATGAGCCACGCATTGGCCACGCCTCTTGCAATCCCGACCCCCAAACCCAGGGGCACCCACCGCTCGCCGCTCGGTCGGCTCGGCCCATCTCATCGGCCCAGTGGACGTCTCGCCGCTGTCAGTACCGCCGCCGCACCTCCGGTAGCACTACCTCTTCCTGCATCTCTCTTATCCCCGATCGAACGGGAAGCTGCTGACTCGTGTTCGACCATTTTCTTCTCAGGCGGCGGAGCTGGAGAGGAGGAAGCTCGACCTCCTTCAAGCCGTCCAGGAAACACAGCGCGGCCTAGCTGCCACCGCCGACCAGCGCTCCGCCGTCGAGGAGGCCCTCGTGAGTCGTCGTCATCGTCTCGCCTTGCCCCCTTTTCCATGCCGTCATGTAATATACTTCAGCGCTCGCGTCGCAGGTCTGCGTCGAGGAGTACGAGGCCGGCTCGCCGGTGAATCTCTCGGAGCTGGATGGCACATGGCGGCTCAACTACACATCAGCCTCCGACGTCCTCGTCCTCTTTGAGGCCGCGGCTAGACTCCCCTTTCTTCAGGTTCTGCTTACCCTTCTTTCCCACAGCTTTGGCCCCGTCTTGATCCTTTCGCCATAGCGCTGAAGAATCCTCAATTCTTTCATGTGTCATTGACAGGTCGGGCAGATTTTTCAGAAATTCGAGTGTAAGGATCGATCTGATGGCGGCATGGTCCGCAATGTGGTGCGTTGGAGTATATCTCCCCTGTTGGAGGTAAACATGAGCAGAATTTATTGTTGGTGTATAGTTAGTCCTTGGAAACAAGTTATATTCTAAGAAATGATATGCAAGAATTAGACGATAACATGCATTTCCATCAGGGATGGCTGAGAGATTGTGCACACGAGACAATTAGGTCAATTTAAATTTTGGGCATACAGATCATTTCTTATCTACTTGTGCATTGTGACAGGGAATTGCAAAAGATTAGCATTAAGCCAAACTTTTTTTCTGCTTTGATGCATGTTATAGACATCGAATGGTTTTGTAGTGTGCAACATGTTTCTATGTGTAATGGTCTACATAATGGAAAAGGAGGACTTGATATCTGATTTAACTGGAGAATTGTCCATTTGTTTAGTGATTGATAGACACTCTCGTGATGTACAAAACATTGATTTGCTGAGTTTTGTTTGATAATCAACCAATGCATTATGGTCAAATTTAAGTGACAAACTGAACCCTGGTTTATTCTGGTTTTTCTTGTTTATTTGTGCTTTGATTATAATAATCTTTTTTTCTTTCGTGTGTCTAGGTAATACCATACCTGTGTTAGCTATCCTTTGAAAAAACTTGGTTTGTGGTTTTCAGATCAAAAGCGTTAAGTACATGGTACATCCTAAACATAAAAGATTTGCAGTACAATCGAGCAAGACTTGGGATCAACTTGGAAATTGCACACTCGGTTGCCTTTTCTTTGTCAAAAGTGTAGTTTAACTTGATATGGTGTCCTGTATATTGTTAAAATCTCATAATAAAAAGGGCTAATTATAGATTATCCTTGTACTTGGACCCTATTAGCATCACAATCCCTATACTTCAAAAATTTATATTGGGATCCCTATAGTTTTGAAAATAAAACAAATAACCTCATTTGCCCTAACACCGTTAGCTGCATTGACGAAAAATACAACGTGTGACACTACGTGCTGGATCGATACGAAAATGATGGGTAAAAAGGTAATTTTAATATCTCTTTTGTTTCCAACGACTTTACCAACAAAGAGGTAATTTCAACATTCCACATGTTGGATATGGAAGAGATATTGAAATTACCTTTTTGCCCATCATTTTCGCGTCGATCTAGCATGTGGTGCCACGTGTTGTGTTTTCTGTCAATGCAGTTGACGATGTTAGGGCAAATGAGGTTATCTGTTTCATTTTCAGAACTATAGGGATCCCAATATAAATTTTTTAAGTACAGGGATTGCGATACTAATAGGGTCCAAGTATAAGAGGTAATATGTAATTAGCCCTAATAAAAAAGGGTGAGTTCAGCTTGAAACAGTAAGGAACTTGTATCAAGTTATGACATGAGCATGAACACTTCTTAAAAAGTTGGCGACACGAAGAAAACATGTTCCTCTTGGTCCAAGTTTTGATCCAAAAGCAAAAGAGCTGCTCTCTGTCATGGAGAATTGGTCCTGTTAACTATCAATAGTAGATACATATTCAATACTGTCAACTCTGTTAAATTTTTGTGCATCAGAATTCATTCCGTTATCTGATATGACAGTTCTAGCTATTCACAATTTTACTTACAGGAGCTAGAAGGTGCAACGTTGGTGGTTTCTGCAAAGTTCTCTGTTCTTTCCAAGCGCAACATATTTCTTGAGTTTGAGGAGGTAGGCATTTCCAAAGAACATGCTCCCAATTTGAAGGAGCAGCAACAAAATGCATTCATACACTAAGTCCATGTTTAAGTTCTTTGGTATGTTGCATACAGTAATTGTAATGGTAAGTGAGCTGGTATCTGTTCTTTAAGATCAATGGTAAGATCGAGAAGACAGACTGGCTCGTACGAGATCTACATTTTGGTGATTATTTCACTTTTTTCTTATAATGTTATTACAATTATAAAAAAGTTTTGTGAAAATTCTTCTTGCATTTACTTATCATGTTCTAATATTAAGAATATTTACTAATTTGTAGGTTGCTGTTGAAAACATCAGAATTAGTGAAGAGCTGCAAGCATTGATAGCTCCAGCTATACTTCCTCGTTCATATTTAAGTCTACAGGTCAGATTAAAAACAATCTTCTATTCTAATCATCCATGTAAAAGGTTTACCAGAGAAGACGCACAAAATTCTGGCAGACTAGGAGTTGGCAAGCACAATCTGATATATGTACATTATTCTTCAGAAAATTTTTGGATATAGATAATCTTCAATTACCATAGCTTTGCACCTTCTGTACATTCTTCTGCTTTCCGAGGAGAAGCATATGGGATCCATAATCCTGGCGGCATATATGTAGACAAAAAGTTACATGCGTGTTTCTAGAGCACCTTTGCTGTTGTGATGATCCTGCTGAGGTTTATGTGCCAATATACTTGATGTGTCCTTAGAATGGAGTTTGCTTTTGGCCTTTGTTAATATGATTCTACCACCATGTTTTCATGCAGATATTGCAGTTTATACGGACTTTCCGAACTCAAGTGCCTGTAAGTGGTCCAGAAAGGTAAAAAGGTTCTGACCTGGGTAATTTTATGGTTTCTACGGTAAGACATCAACATGGAATTCAACTATATTGCAGAAGGTCACCTGGAGGATTGTATTACCTGTCATACTTGGATCGCGATATGCTTTTAGGCCGTGCCGTGGGTGGTGGAGGTGTCTTTGTCTTTACAAAGGCACAACCTATTACACTACAATAACTTGGCTTTGGCCCGAAAAGAGCATCAAGAACAAAAATGAGCAAATGCACCTCACATGGACGAGAGAAATGAGGTAATTTTCTGTATGGTGTTCATGCGAAGAAGTATGCAATTGCTTAACTTCAACAGTGGTGTTGTCTCATAGAACCTATGAGCTTATTGCCTCGTATTTGGCAAACACTTGTATCAAAACCTAGCCTACATCCCATGTGGAAGCGATCAGATTAGGATTCTACATTTTGCTCTGTCTCTCTCTAATCTTTTTTACATGAGAAATTCGAATGTGTATTAGAGAATGGTTATCAATCCAAAACAGAGATTATTATGTTCTTAATGTGTGTCACAAAATTTTGTGTGTCAGTCTGCACAATTGGGATGAGGCCATTGGTAACCTTTTGTTCTTCTCGTTGATTAAAACAAATTATTGATTAAATATTAAATATTTATATTAACTTTGATTGTTATTAAATGCCTAAATATAACATCTATATTTTTTTTCCTTAGAATAAATACAAGTTAAGAGATTTCTCTCTATATTATCGTCATTTTCCGAAATCTAAATCAAACCACAAACAGATCGATGTTTTGTCAGGCAAAAAGGATGTATACGTATCGCACGTCCTAAACAAACGTCGACCCACAGGTGTCTCCACAAAGCACGTACGTGGACATGGGGTTCACATCAACGGTGGGGTCCAGAATCCTTTTGTTAGTGATCAGCAACTACAACGGCCGACTTCGTCTCACCTACCCAATAGCCAGGTGACGAAAGCGAGTTGTGTGTATCTATCCTGCCTCCACAACCGTCCATTTTTTTTACTCTTGTCATCCTGACCGTCCGTACAAATGGGTCAGATCATCTTTTTTTTTTGGTTCGTATCAGGTGGACGATCGGGATGACATCAAGGTAGAAATGGACGATGCACCAGCTTCGCAGTTTGCACGCTCTTGTCACGTGCGCATCACCGACTGAGAGCCTAGCCCGTGAATCCAAGAATCCCCGGTCGCTCTTTTCCGCTTCCCCTCGCCTTCCACCCCTTATCGAGGAAGAGAAATCCAAGCTGTTCCAAAACCCTAGGTCTCCGTCCATGGAGCCCGAGGATAGGGATAACCGCGTCGTTAGCTTCCTTTCTCCCACAGACTGTATCTCGCTGCCTCCGCCGCCGCAAGATGACAACGGAGGAGACGCCACGGCGGTCGGAGCCTGCGTCATAGACGAGCCCCACCTCCTCCGCTCTCCTTTTGCCTATGACGCCGCGGCGGTGGAAGAGACCCTGCCAAAGCGGAAGCGCGGGCGCCCGCGGAAGGCTCACGTTGCCGGAGGGAGAAAGACGGCATCCAAGAGGGTGGAGGAAGTGTGTTTTGTATGCTACGGAGGTGGTGATCTCCTGGTGTGTGATCGTAGGTGGGTTTGCTTGGTTCTCGTCGTTCATGGTGTTTTACCAAGGGCTTTTAGGTTTCTGTTGTTATTACAATTTTGCTCGTTGTTCTAGGGGTTGTCTAAAGGGATACCACCCAACGTGCGTCAACCGGGATCAGGCCTTCTTTCATTCGCAGAGTCGGTGGGAATGTGGTAAGTTCAAGTTCCCCGAGTTTCTGCCACTCAGTTACGTTCACTGGAGTTTCTCAGCTTGTTCAATTGGTAATGGCATTTGTTTGCTGCTTTGGCTGTTTCCATCCTAAATTATTTCAGCTAGTGCAAGATTTTAAAACTTTCTTAGTTGTAGATTTTTTCGGGCCTCTTGGACTAACTGGCTTGTTTAACTTCGTTGAACAAGATTCGAAACCTTCTGTTATCTTCATTGAACCTAAACATGAGGTGTAGCCCTGCCCAAATTCTAGATCGGTTTTGATACCGAATATCACGACTCAGGCTTGATGAGCTAAATGACCTATAAATTTTGTTAAACCAAAAAAGTGAACAAGAAGCTTAAGCTGAAGTTGACAATAGTATATCTATTAGATTCTTATAAGTCAATCTTAGTCTTGTCCACTTCTGATGTGGGGCTAATTGGGGTGTTACATTTGTAGTGTCAGTAGACAATTGGTTTGATTGTTTGTCACAACACATGACTCAGAAAAAAGGAGGTTGTTGGGGTTGGGGTTAGCCTTGTAGAATATAGAGATGCTCCGAGTCAAGTTTGGCTTGCCCACAACTATTGGTTTATTGAGAGAAGATTCAATTTTCTTACGTTGTGTTAAACCAACCGAAAATAAGTTTTGGATTATAACAGGTAACAACAATAGATGTTGTAATTCTTCCATAATGCTTTGCTTGAACACCAAGGATTTGATTGTCAACACCTCCCACAGAAACTATAGTTCTGGAAACTGAAGGCTTTTCTTGAACAATTTCCATTTGACCAGTCAGTCCCTACTCTCCATTTTTTGGGCCTTCACTTCCTATAAAACAAAGATGTTCGGAAAGTGATTTAATATAAACTTTTGATTGTGAGCTAGTATTATTGGTACATCCTTGAGTGTTTACGACAAACTTGTCTCTTCTGCTTGATAGCAACACCTTGAGACTGGGGGTGTACTAAAGAATCTCGAGTCTTTCATTTTAGTTGCAACATGTTGAGACTTGATGAAGTAGTATTTTGCTTTGCTGTTATGTTTCTTGCTCCTTTTTTAATTTATAAAATCTCCTTTTGTAGTTAACATCCACAAGTTGATATTTCCTGACAGTTGGTTGCCCTTTTGAGCATTGCAGGTTGGCATACTTGCAGCATTTGTAAAAAAGCTGCCACTTACAAGTGTTATACCTGTACATACTCCCTGTGCAAAGGTTGCATTAGAGAAGCTAGATATTTTTGTGTAAGAGGCAGCAAGGGATTCTGTGTGACTTGCTATAGGACTACAATAATGATAGAATCAAATGGGGAATCTAATGAGGAAAAGGTTTGTTTTTATTAAATGCTCACATATTCTTTCATCTTGGAATTTTTGGTCTATTATCAAGGTTCTGATGTGATCCATTCAGTTAGTGTCAGAGTAACTTGTGGGTGAAAGTTATGAGCTAAATTACTATTTTTTAATTGTTTCTTATTGGCTTAATTACATTGCAATATGTTGATCTGCATTCATACGAGTTTTCATGAGTTTGCATTTGTGGATTGTTAATGGCTGTAGAGTGACCATTTGAGTTAAATTTTTACATTATGAGATGGTGAAAGCCTGCTGGATTGAGATGGACTTTGGGGGTGGGGTGATAAGACTGTGAGGTTCCTGGTGCAATTTTCAGGAGTGTTTTGGTGAATTTGGAAGAGAATGTTATTGAACTTTTGGGCTGTTGTGCAATCCAGGCCAACAGCACTTATGGAAGAGAATGACATTGTCAGCCATAACTGCCATATAATCGAACTTTTGTGCTGTTGTGCTGAATAATGATAAAAAGTAGTCAACATTACACAAAATAATCAAATTTCAATTTGTCAAGGTGTGGAGGTGCTTTTCAGTAATCTAAAGCAAAGTGCTTCCGCAACACCCATGAACTTCACAAAATATAAGGCAATGATGTCTTTCATTTTGTGAGTCAAAATGGTGAACTTCTGGGAAAGTAAAATTTCCTTATCAGACTGGTGGAATGATCTTAGAAGAACATTTCTGTTTATCAGGGAGACTGTTTTCTATGAAATGGTTATAGAAAGTATTTTTTGATATGAACACTTCAAACTTTTGCTTACAGGTTTTGTTCAATTCTTATCAGCCTGTTTACATTAGGATTTGATTCTCCCTTGGTGGCCAACTCTTGATTTATGACAATGAGACATGAACCCTGTTGTGGATTGTTAGAACTGTATGCTGTTTGTTTTGCTGTCTGGACGTTTGGGCTTGCATTACATGTCATTTAAAACCAAGTGGATTACATTTTTACATATTTATCCAGTTCCAGGACAATGCACTTGGAAATATCTCTACTCAAGAATTTTGATGTATTTTCATGATTTATCTTTATGCTTTTATTTCTTGTAAACCTGTTGGACATACATTTAAACGCCTAGGAAATAGTGTTAAATACTTATTTAGTCTTTGGTGTCCTTTAAAATTTGTAGATTGTGTAGTCAACATGTGACCATTGATGATTGTTGCAGCTTATGTAGTGTGTTTTTTGTGAACCATGCTGATAATTCCATGAATTTGTTATTTCTTCATCACATCTATCTTTGAAGTTAAAAATGTTAGTTGTACTAGAAGTTAGATACCAGGATGCCATGTCAAGTACTTCTCTTATAGCTTTCTTTTGCAGGGTCGGTTAGACTTTGATAATAGAAATAGCTTGGAATATTTGTTCAATGTGTATTGGTTGACACTTAAAGGCAAGCTATCGTTAACATTAGAAGAGTTAGGTAATGCTAAAGATACATGGAAAGGATCTGGTACTTCTGTGTATAATGAGGAGACTTCTGATGAGTTATATGATGCTAATGATGATGAAGAAGCTAGCTCTGACAGCTCTCCAGGATGTGATGATGGTAGCAATTCGTCAAGGAAAAAAATTGGAGGACATTCTAGGAAACCCACCGATGTTGAAGGTCCTGCTGATAATGAGAAGAAATCCTTGTCTGAAGACAGTGAATGGGCTACACCTGAGCTCTTAGGACTTGTAGCACACATGAAAAATGGTGATAAATCTGTTATGTCTCAGTTTGATGTTCAGGCTCTTCTACTGGAGTACATAAAGCAAAATAAACTTCGTGATCCTCATAGAAAAAGTCAAATTGTTTGTGATACAAGACTATATAACTTGTTTGGGAAAGCACGGGTGGGACATTTTGAAATGTTAAAGCTTCTAGAGTCCCACTTTTTTATCAAAGAAGCTTCACAGGCAAGCACTCATGATAACCATGGGGGAACTGTAGATTCTCAATCTGGTCAGACTGATGCTGAAGAATACAATAACATAACAGGCATTGTTTCTGATAAGCGACAAAAAACCCGTAAAAGAGTTGAGAGAGAACCACAGTTCAATCTTGAAGATTATGCAGCAATAGATGTCCACAACATCAATTTGATTTACCTGCGTCGCAGTTTAATGGAGGATTTAATTAATGATGATAGTTTTAGCAAGAAAGTTGTTGGCTCTTTTGTTCGAATAAGGATTTCAGGTGCAGCAGGTCAAAAGCAAGATATGTATCGACTTGTTCAAGTTATGGGTAGGTTTATCTATCATTTTAGCTACTATACATCTCAGAAATATTTATGTTTAGAATCATTTTTTTTCTCTGTCCAGGCACACATGTGGTTGCAGAAAAATACAAACTGGGAAAGAAGACAATAGATATTGCAGTGGAGATATTGAATTTAGACAAGATAGAGATCTTATCTATCGA